CGAGAGAAAACTTTGCTGGTGCCGTCAAAACAACGTTGAAATTCACCCTGAATGTTCTATGAAAGCTCAATATCAGGTATATTGAACAAACAAAGAACTGACCACGTGGAATATTAAATGGGTATGTAAACAGTGGTTTCATTTATGAATTGTTGATTTGTGCTCGCGAACTTTTCTCGTAAATCAGTAATCGATGTGCACATGTTGGAAAAACACGTGCACGATGTGCCGTAGTACACAAGGAGATTTTAGGTTGGTTTCCGAAAGGTGAAACCGAACAGGTAAATTAGATTTTTATGCGGTATGTACCCGGTTCGAATCTCTGTCAAGCTACCAGCTATTCTGATTAAGATCTTTCTCGATTTTATTCAGTATAACACTTGAATTTTTATTTAAATCTCGATTTTCGTGTATTTTGAAGATGAGTGTCTCTTGGGATGTTGCGTCGTGAAGTCTGGTAGATAGGGCGATGATAAAGGCAGTAAGATCTTCTGGAACGTCGGTCAGTATCCAGCAGACTTCACTGTTCAACGTCCTGGAAGACAGAAATCTTCATACTCGTCTCTGCGAGAACCTGAAATCTTACCTGAATCTGCTTCGTTTATATATGATTTTCGATTCTTTCTCTGTACTGAATAAGGGAAATTAGAATGATTGGCCATAATATTTATGTTTTATTATCGCTGCGGGACCAAAAGGGAAGTTTGCTCTCCCCTGATCGAGACGAATAATGGCAAGGTAAAAATGTGAAAGTCCGGTGATGAAATTGGTGTGAGATCTCGAACGCAGTTGATGGGGTCGGAGTGAATAATCGTTCTGATGTAGACAGGTTTGATGAACGTGCTTTGTATTTGTGTAAACGTAATTATATGCTGGGAGGGGCTTACAGTGTCTTGGGGCATTGCGCGTAACCGTGATCCAGTTACACACATTGGACGTGCGGGTTGCTTGTCTTACGCGGAATACGCCGTTGTGAAACAGTTGTGTTCTGTGTTCAGCGCAGACAAAATTTGTTTCTTTCATACTTTTTTTTTTAAGTAGCGTCTGCGTGTTACGTTTGTCGCCAATTGTCTTGATTTAGACTTTTTAACTTGGATTTAGGCGGAGTACAATCTGCGAAGCTCCTCGTTATGTGAGGTTAAAGGTTCTCACAGCGTGAAGATGTCTATGATGATCTTCTGGATGGTGATGGCATATTCTTTCTGCGATACGTTGTTAACCACCTGATCTGCCCTTCTACTATCTTTTTTCTAACTTACTGTTGGCTTCGTAAATGCGTTATTATGTTTTATCTCGTTGAAATTCCAATGACATATATAAAAATACTCGGGTACACGAAATGCACGATTGCACACTGTCCCCTTTATGATATTATCATTAATACCACCATAATTAACATTCTGTAATTGTTACATAAGACATTCTTGTAGTAATGCATAGTGAAGTGAAGTTGTAAAGTGACATGAATGTAGTGGATGAATGAATCAGCAGAAACTGGTCAGTTGTATGAACAGATGAACCAGAGAATATCAAGATGTATTCTTTTAGATTCCAATTCAGATATTATTCCTTTCACAGGTCCAGCATTGACCATGTCGAAAGCACGGATTTGGAATATGTGATGCCTAATTTGTATATGAAATCGAAGCAGCGAATCAAAGGTTTTGTTTTGCCGGCAACATGTTAATTCTGACCGGGTATTTCCATGTGTACGGGCCATCTTATCTCCTTAGGAACGTGTAAAGTGATGGTAATAAAGCGAGATAATAGCGCTTTACTGACGTGAGGCGAATCCGACCTTGAGAACACTGACCTGGCCTCGGATGGAACGTGCGAAGGTTGCATCTTGGCAATGATGCTGGTCTCCAGCATCCTAAGTCACGAAACAGGGACCTAAGTCTCTTTCGAATTAATCGGATTGCAGGGTCAGTTATTGTGTATAGTTTCAGGCATGTAAGCAAATTACATTTGTTAATTTGTCACTGTTAACTTCATATGTTTGCGATGTTTGCGAATTACGTTAATTTGTTAGACGAAAACATGAAGACTACAAAGAAAATCATGTAAATTCTATTGGACACTAGGAAGGATGTTGGTCAGGGAGGAAATAAGTAGAAAACTAAGTATTGCTAATTTCTCGTCGTCAGATTGCAAGACAACATTATAATGTAGCTATAACTAATATATATCTTTAAAATGTATCAGATTTCTCATATCAGGGGATGATAGTAATGAATCTGAATTACTTTCACGAAGGAATTAGTGGTAGATTAAATTCAAGAAATGTAATCTCCCCTCAATCTCTCTGAAAACTTGAAGATTGAAGTATAAAAAATTATGATTTTTCCGTTATTTCGTATAAACGTGATACATGGTCTTTCACCTCAACGTAATACATATACATACCCATTAAAATCGGTACCTAATTCAGGCAACGTTGTCCTCCATGTCGTTTTTGTATAAACGACATCAACATGACTTTTTTATTAACTAGTTCATTTCTGTCTTTTATCGATTTCTTTATATACATATATACTCCGAGAATGGAACAATACAGTCAGTGTGCTCCCAGATGTGTGTTTAATTTATAAAGGGTTGCGTTTTCTGTATCATACACAGCTGAGCTCCTGTTTGAGGCTATTGTTTAGAATCAAAGAAAGATTTTTATCATGGAATTGTTTTTGAAAATATCTCTCTTCCTTCTGTTATTCATCTTAACTGTAAGTAATTCATGTAAATAAAAATGTACTGCTATAGTTTTTAATTTGAAAACATAAATAGACCCTGTGGTGAAAAATACGTACCGCTAGAATGAAATAGGCCATACAAATATTTTTACTTTCGTGGTCATTGTGATGGCACTGCATTGCTAGTGCTGATATTGTTTGCTTCAGATAAAAAATATCTTGTATTGTTGAAAGTTGATTAGCATTAAACATGCTAAGATATGGACGATCTTTAAATATTAATTTTAGGTCAAATATTTTTCGGTGAAAGTAGAAGATGCTAAAATTCTTTACACGAAAAGCCGTTGTATTTAAGCGTCACATAAATGAGGACGTGTGTATATATTTAACAGATATGGACCAAAATGGTATTCTGGGTAGTTTTTAAGTGTTTATGTGTGTTTCAAAGATTTCAAATTATGTCGATAAAAGTACTTGTAATAGGACTGTATAGGCATTCTAATGGGAACATGGACACAAATTATTATTTTACACTTTCTGCTAGTCTGACATTAAAGACTTTAGGGAAGCAGCCATTGTCGGTTCTTCTCAGAATTTCATTATTCAACGCGCCCAAATTTGCATGTGAACCATCTTCCATCGATTGAGCTCTTACAAAGTTCTATCGAACAATTCTCGCAGGAAACCGTCGCTTTGGAGACCTCACAGCTCAAAGAGCCTGGGCGATTGTGGAGGCTGGAATCTGAGAAAGAATTCCAGGAGCGGGTGTGTCAGGTGATCCACAACTTGTACTCCGCCACTCAGAACAGCACCTTGGCACGGGACGGTTTCCCAGGCTTCGAAGAGGTCATCTTCTTTCTGCTGGAGTTAATAGGCAGTGTCGTAGGTCTGTCCTGGGGTACCTACTCGACATTGCTTGCTGCTATTTCAGCTCAACCCGAGTAACTTGATCTAATGAGATCAAATAAATCGTAACTCTGCGTGATGCGATTGAAGTTAGATTGAATTCGGTGAATTCGTGCTAACGCTTAGTTCATAACCATTCATGTTCCGGTCTCTACTATTAAAATCTAATTAATCAATTCATCGCGAATAGGAACCGAAGTGATATAGGCCACCCATCTCCATAAGATTCTTCTTCATGTGATTCTCCCATCTTAGAATTTATAGCACGTATCCTTCGGTGCGCTTAAGAAACTGACTTTCTTCCTTATTTCAGCTCTTATAAATTAAATTATTTGCATTTTGGTATCAAACCACTAACAGTTTATTAGGAGGCCAGTGTAGTTACTGACCAATTAATTAAGCACACTTCTTGTAATAGAACTTACACTGATAACACAAAATATCATCAATGAACCGTGTCAACTAGTCCATTTCAGCTCCCCATCCCTGCCTTACACATGACCGGCATTTTCCTAGCAAATTTTGTACGCAGTTCTTGTTTCCTTCGCGTCATATTTGTGTAAACACGATTATAATGCCCTTGATTTAAATAGGGCCTGTACTGATTTTATTTATTTATTTATTATTTAATATGTTTTATGTAATATTTAGAATTCAACTTAAATATACTTACTTCTGAACAGTTGTTACATTCTTGTGTACTGTATCTACCTTAAGCCTGTACGTATTATATTGAATGGGCCACCCCCGACTCACAGTCTAATCACTAGAAGTACTAAGCTCATGGAAATAATATTTAAAATGCAGTTTATACCTCAAAGACAATTTAACGTGTGTCTGTTACGAATATCAGTTAGCTGTGCTGTTTAGGGAAATTATCACTGTTTATTCTGAGAATTATACGAAACCCATACGTGCAATACGCTCTCAGAGCTATTAAATATTAAAGTAGGTGGCATTTATATTTACCACAATCTTAAATGATTAACTTATACCATGTTTAAAACACGTGGAATCTGCCATAAACACCTTTCCTAGCTTATCTTTTGAATTTTGATTTTTGAACTTCGATTCTCATTTCTTTGTTGGGCCCATCTGTAATCGGCTCGAAATGTAACAGCGCCCAGGAATCTGGAATCTGAGAATTCGAATCAGTTCCACAAAGATTCTAGCTGGTCCTTTTTAAAATTTTCTCCAGTATACGATGTCCGAACTCAGGAGTCTTTAAAGTTAAATGTTTCAGTCGTAAGGAAGTAAATATTTTCTGCATAAATCTACAGACATTTGAGTAGCCCAAATGATACTATTAAAATGTAATTTTGATCAATACGGTGTTTGAATAACAGTTGGAATGAATTAGCTTAGATCAGACACTTGTAGCGAGCTTCTGTGGTAATGGTCTGGAAACTTTTTATTTATAAATAAATTTATTGAATATCCAAATTGACTACATTGGTAAGAGTCTGTGCGATGAATCGTTTATTTATTTATGCAGTCATTTCATTAACGTGACAGAAGTTTACTTCTTTCAATGACTCGTTTCTCACACGTACTGCAGAGGTTTCAAGTTGGTCATGGTTTTGCAAAGCTCACTGTCTGAATCATCTAGGTCAGCAATGACTTTTTCTGTCACGTCCTTGGTATCACCGCGTTGGATGTGCCCACGGGACAGAGCCTCCTGTAGGACCATCCTCAGCTGTTCCCCCGAGGTTGTCTTAGACGTTTCTCTCAGGAACGACAGTACATCTTCTGAGAACCCCTGTCGAGAGACACCACACTTTGTAACCTCTTAGTAACTGACTAATTCTTACTAAGTGGGTTTCTGGATGACCTAATGGTTGCCCACACAATTCACTGAATGTTTGGTTGACTGAGTGACAAACTTACTGCCTGAATGAATGACATGTTACGGATTGCACATTTTTTTTTTTGAGAAGTCGAAAGTTTATCATAGTCATAAAGATACTGACAATTGGTCTGAATTCGGGTAGCATATCCATCACATATTAAGATCCACTTTAATATGATCTACTAATTTACTCTTATGCATCTCGTGTAGTGTCTTCGTTGTGATGTTTTCTTCTGCGATATAAGTAGTCATTAAGAACACAATAGTTTGAATTAATGTACAAGTGTTTCATAATCACTTGTACATTTTTACGCTAAACATTGATTTTGGCCCTGTCTCTCCAACTTAATGCACATTGAATTATGGTTATTCGGACGTGTGACTCGACCCAACTTGGATTACGATAAGTGCAGCGGTAAATTACCTCTGCAGAAGCGACTTGCTAAGTGTTTACAGAACAATAATATTGCACCCACCTGGTATTTGGCAAGACCCTGCAGTTTGGCCTCCCTGATAAGTGCGTTGTGCAGGTTTAGAAGTTGTTTCTGTGTTCGTGTAAGGGGCTTCGTCCCACGAACCTCATCAGTGTTGTTGTTGTCAGAAATTTCCAGTGGTATTTTCAAAGACTGGTGTACTGATTTTCCTGTGGGCAGAAAATTTTAAATGACTCATTAATGCAGTGTTAGAAAAAAATAGGACGAATTAAAACTGAAAATGTGCAGGTCACTTCACAGTTAGCTATGCCTCTAGCCTGAATTTCGCACAGCGACAAATTTTACACCACAATTATTTCCTGTATTTTAATATTCTAACCACATTGCTATTTAATTATTTAATTGTTTATTAAACTGCTGTAATAATTTCGAACCCTTCGTGTACTGTACCCGTTCGTGGATCGGAGTTGTTCAAGTCCTTTGCATACTCTATCACGTGGTATACCACCTGCGCAGCCGCAGGGATGAACGAATCAGAGTACATGGGAACCCCAGTGGGGTACACCGTGGCCCCCAGCGTTGCCTGTAATATTTAGATTTTCTTAATGTATGATACCTATTCACAATATGTGAAGTCATTGGATTCTAGGAAGTCAGATTATGTTACAGGTTTCTTCAGAATTAAACTTAGGCTATTTGTTTAGAGGGATCGCTCCCAAGAAGGGTTAGTGTAAGAAGTGGTGTGAAAATAATGCTTTTTTGTATCTCTCGATGTTGTAGGGTCCACCCAACCTCTTTATCCAATGATTACCGACGACATTTTCCTCAGCGGCAAAGCTGCCTGCTATGTAGGGTCCACCCAACCTCTTATCCAATGATTACCGACGATATTTTCCTCAGCGGCAAAGCTGCCTGCTCATTTTCATCTCTTACCGACGTAAAGAATTCTGTAAGTCCAAATAATGTATTTCTGGTGAGATTTTCATAATTGAAAAAGATAAGAAAGATTGAAATTTGAAACCTCTGAGTAAACTGCTACTAGGTTCAGTAGATTGTTAAGATTGTGAAATGCTGGAATAACGTACCTGCGCACACAGTGCCGAGACTAACAGAATAGTCACCATGACTTGTATGCAGACTACTGACTGAAACGAAGACTGTGAAGCCCTTATAAAACTTCCCCTGTGAACCACGTCTTATCAGAACATGTCGCTATGCTCGTCGATAGCAGTAATGGCGTTCATTAGGGAGTCACACTTTCGTTTGTAGAACAAAACATTTATCAAGAAGTGGCAACCTATTGTTCGTGAGCTGGATGTGGTCAGCTGGACTGTTTAATTCGGCAAGTTTAAGTTGAACTAAACTGACGGTAATAATCCCATACTTTTCGTAACAAAATTTCTGTATGCCGTTCCGACCTCATTTGATTTAATCACGTGTAGGTCCATGTTATGCGATTCTCCCTGTTTCCTGCTAACTTTTTTTATAGGTTTTGGTGTTAAAAATAAATAATAGCCCATTCCAAAGGAAATTATTTACCCTGTTCTCCAATATCCGTCCTGGTAGCGTGTTACACTGTGATTTCATATTTAACGATATGGATATTTCTTGTCGTGATAAGCATGCACTTAAGATTCATTACAGTTGGTGCTGTAATCAATTATGTAGCTTTCTAGGGAGGTTTTGTCATGACAGCCAGATTACCTACTTATTTTTTCAACTACGTATTATGATTTTTTATGCAGTGACCCTGGCTTTTTTCATGATATACAGATTCTTGCGTGAGTATCTCATAATTAGTTAAGATGTGATGGTTATTCAGCACGCAAATCGTTATATTAGGATCTTTCTTTATCTCTATTCCAGTCCAAAACGTGTTTTGACTGTCATAAAATTGAAATTAACAATGGACTGACAATGGTGAGCGTTACTGTCCATGTGTAGACTGCAGATCTTTGACGTGATATTTTCTTATATCAAAAATCGTGATTGTACCGTAGAGTTAATAAGAATTTTATAAGTATTATAGTACTGGGAGTTTTTCTCATAAATGAAAAGGTGTACTTCGCCGGTACTTGTAGTTATTGAAAACAGAATAACGATTAACGGACACAAATATACATGAGCTTGGCAGGATTCTAATTCTCTGCTCTGTCGCAGCATAATCACCGAGGGCCTTGGACCAGTCCCTTCACGACCCTTTTAACTAGATTGCGCAATTTTCCATTGCTGCAAATGTACTCCTGCAAGACGTGCATGCAGTAACGCGTTGTGGAAATACTGTTAATATTCTGACTATGTAAACATTAGCAGAAGATAAGCCAGCAGTGGGATCAGTTACTCGTGTATTCACACCGCGTCTGCTGATACTGACACCCTTGGAGCCTTATGTGATTGCCAAAGTGTGTGTCTACTGTTTTGCTAGTTTCAAACCTATTAGTTCTTGTCCGATGGACATGGTCTTACTTTATAAAAAAAATCTGTTCTAAAATTCAACAGTTTAGCATCTAGAGACTTGGTTTATGCATAAAGTCTACTTTACAAGTAGCCAGGCAGCCCTGGACTGAATTCTTGGCACAATAGATTGATGGATAATATATTTGTAATGCTAATCTTAGCCTGTTTCTCCACAAAATAACAACAGCGCGGTGCATGACTTAGTAATTGTGTTTTTTGAACCCTTCTCCGCCCGCATAATTACGCCCTCAGCTCCATTGAGTAACAAAGCGTGACACAACTTATAATAACATACAAACTCGAGGTCATCAGATGTTTGCTTTTTCAGGTCACAGGTTCCAATTTTACTCACTGGATTCACAAAAATATATTAGCCTTACCATGGCCTTCGCTAAAAGTTTTAATAAAATTCGTTCATCCAGAGGTATTCTTCTGTGGACAAACAGAAGTTATCGGAAAAGGAATGGTAGTAGGAACTTTGCTGATAAAAGTTTTTACAAGAAACGAGAGTACATTAATTTTCGCTGGTGCCTGACCTTTGTTTCGAAAGCGAAATTCTGTACCTTGCGTTCATTTTATGCGTGCTATGCAAAGAAGTGATGTTAAGACCCTGTTCTGTAACCATGGAAACAAATGTACGAGCTACGCGAAGCACTTCTGTGGTTTATGTTGTTTTTAAACCTACCGGCGTCTTCTAGATTGCGTTTATATCACCTAGCATCCCTTCTTGTCTTTTACCAGGGAAATGTCATTTCAGTACCCCCGGTAACTGTCGTCATCTGTACTAAATCAAGAAGGCAAATCGATAACATGGCAGGTTCAGTATCGTGCACAGGCTGGTTAAGAATAAGAGATATTATTTATGCGACGACCGTCTCCTTCTAAATCCTCTCCCACTTGCTATTCGTGATCATCTTCCCACTTCCTTCACTCGCTGTTCACTTGTTGACTTTAAGGTCTCTGCAGTTCAAACAGAGTCGTATTTTCACACGATTAATCGAATATTGTGAATCGTAGTTTAGTGCTAAATGTTTATGCTTTGTACCTGGAAGAACGCCATTTCGAATATCAACAGGGATACCAACTATCTTGACATGCCTCGATACCTCAAAGAGAATTACGGAATTTTGCCTTAAAATAGGTCACGACGTTTCTTTCCAAAACCTAACCTAACTCTCAGTTTATAAACATTTATCTTTTGTAATGCTGGGTAATCAACGCAGTTGGCGAAGTGTGTTTAAATAAACAAAGATCACAATTGCAGTAATGAAATTGCGTTTGAAATAATGAAAACTACAAATGTATAGCTGTAATGGTAACAATTTCATTATTACACGAATATTGAATTGTTTCATAAATTTTGAGTTATATTTGAGGACACTTCCGACAGACGCTTCAAGTGAAAACTGAATATAATAAAATTACAATTGAACATTACTTTCTAAACTGACCATTTATTCAACAAGATCATTATACAATATTTAACATAAAATTAACCAAAACTTAAAATAATTTATACAATTCTATTGACCTCTTTCCCGAATGTCTTTACATCTGGAAGTTTGTGTGTTTGGCAACTCATTTTATTTTATGTTTGCTGTAACTAGCTTCAAAAGTGTATCTTGAAACCTTCTTGAGTATCAACCACACTTGCAATTTAAATATGGGAGTCGAAATGAATGCGTGGGCAAAATATATGTTGTTTTAACAGCTGTAGTGCCGAGACGGAAAAGTTGAAAAAATTGCCAGCGTCGATTACATTAATTCTCCGCATCAATCAAACGTGATGTCATATACCGACTTCACAATACGGGAGATTTTTGACAGTGTTATATAATAATATAATAATTTTGTAATTTATAATTCAGTATAATTTTAAGTGAGATTGTTCATTGTGGGTGATTATGACGTCTGTTAGATGTAATACCACAGAAAGGCGTTAGCAAATATGTTTAGATGTGTTTGCCACAATTATCTTTGTACTGTACAATGTGAGACAGTGTGAGGAGAAACCCAAAGGTTGCTATTTTTCAGGCGTGAGTCAGGGTAGTTCGATAACCACAGATGAGGGGAACACAATTTGTTTAAGTTTATTACTCGGATCATCTCCTGAATGGGAATGGGTAAGCATACGAATTCTGTCCTCCGAATACGGAATTTATTAGGTTTCCTCCTGCCGACCCCATGTTGTTAACGACGTCTCCAGTTGCCTGAGCGGCCGACGAGAAGATTGGTTGTAGCCAGCTGAAGATCTCCTTGAGCTTCCGACTTTGAACAGCTCCGACACCGAAGCTTTTGGTAGGTCCGGGCTTCTTTACGATAATGGCTATTAGGTTTGGATCCGTGGCATTCATTTTTGTTGCGAAGTTTCGATCGGCTGTCGGGAAACACACGCAGAGTGTGGTGAAGAAAATCAGCTGGAAGGTACAGAACACAGTCACTCTAGATTTCTGTATTACCGATGTCAGTTTTGTTAGAATTGGTTTTCTCTTTCGAATTCTAGAGGTCACAATGTTAAAATATGTTCTTGAACGATACGTAGAGAAATATTAGCAAGAAAGTGATTTGAAAGTTAATATATTTATAGTAGATAATACATACATAAAATACTTTCTTTCTTTTTTTTGCTAAAAGTTTGAAAAACTTAGGATTCGAGCTTCTAACTGCGTGAGTCTGAAGATGGCTTTCTTCTCAGAAGACAGCCATCTTTTAAAAAGTAACATAATGTAACACTTTGGAGACTTTATGACAAATCGTATTTTTTGCAATGTCAAAATAGAAAATATTTCCAGTGTTGCGAGAAATTTACTGCTTCATTTCTCAGTTTAGACCCCAAGGAATTTATCAGGCTTCCCCAAAATCCTGGTAAAAGTTAACATTTCGACATTAGACAGAATTAGGTAGGACTATAAATCTATATAACGCATCCCATTGATTGGGAACTCCTTCATTTCACTCCAAGATGGAGACATTCAGCCCCACCCCCCACCCCCGAAATATCTTACTTGCATCAACCAGTGAACGTCTATTGAAAACAGAAAATTTAGTTTTATTTTCCTAAAAAGGAGTTGGATACAGAATCCGACTAACAGGAAAGCAACAATTAATCACTCACCAACAGAATGCAGCAGAGTCTGTTGAACCACCCCATGTCGTTGGTTAAACACTACAAGTACCGATGGCGCCTGCACTTATATACATCATTCTAGAGCTTTCGTTTCCTGGTCGACAAAATTTACACGTGCGGGTCCTACAAGAGGCACTGCTGGTTCCTTATGCAACCGGAGCGCACACCCAAAACCTTTTTGCAACAGTGGCTCAAGTACCATAACGAAATTTATAAAAAAACTGGCTACTAGTTGGCATTCTGCACTGATATTAGCCGCTGTTAATACGTCGAGTAATAATTTAAAATCACACCAGAAGGAAAATTGAAAATTGAAAAGGGACTATATTTTGCAGTGGCAGTGTTTGTATACTCTACCGTTACTTAAGAATACCACAGACAATTTTAGTCGTGATAGCCCGTCTACCGAACAAGGTTCATAACCACGGTGGTGGAAACACAAAGTGATAACCACAGCACGTACTTTCGGTTCTTAGGGAAGAGTAAGATGTCTCTATCAAGCTTTAAATTGAATGTTAAATTCTGGAAGAAGGATGCTGACATCTGCCGTCAACGTCTCTGCTAAGACTGACTTTTGATAGATACGTCGGGCTCTGGTTTCAGACGTAATAACGTACGTGAAAATTTGCACAACACTTGTGCCAGTATTGCAGTAATTAAAATGCCATCATGTTATACGTAACAATTATGAACACATTTCTCCGCCACCCGCATTACTCGTGCACTGGCTTACTCTCCATTTCGTTCGCCTGTGAATTGGTATAAAGAAGCAAGGAAGTGACGGAGCGAGCCGACACTGCGGTCACCAAAGGCACTTCTCGCCTGCATTTAGGCGTCCCAAGACATTTATCCCAGGCTTATGAGCACAATCAGGAATGCTTAGATTTAAAGCGCATTATGAGTACCTGAGCAAAAGAAGTGCGTTTTTATGTGTGACCTTTGAGGCAATCACGACGGTGACGATGTTGGTGTTCTGGGTTGTGACGCCGTGTGGACGTGCAGGCAGATACCGTTTCGATGATACGTGCAGTCTCACTTCAGCCGAAAGGATGGAAACGTTAAATTTCTCCAAGACGTCCCACGTTCGACAGAATTTTGAGGTTAGGTTTGCAAATTGCAGTCGTCCATGTGTGACTGCTGTCGAACAATGAAAAGTGTTGAAATTTAAATGCGTGGGGTACATATGAGTAATACGTAAGATATTAATAATTGTGTTATATTTCTGGATTATAGTCACGGTGAAGAGTTTCTGACAGGTCAGAGTCTCCATTTGCAAATCCATTCAATTATATTTGCCGAAGTCTAAAGGACTCCGCAGTTTGGCGTGAATTCAAACTGTAACGCCCTGTGGATACGCAACCCATCCGTCAGCCGCGTGTGGCGTGTTGCCAAAAGATTCCTTCCAAGTGCCGTGTACAGTTCTGCGCAGGTAAACTGAAACTAGTGAAAGTTTAAAATCACAACGTGGTTATTAAATTCCAAAGTCGCATGCAAGAGTGGCGTTAATGATGATTTGTTACGTGTGTTGGCATATGTAACAATGCTTTATCAACTCTAGATTTCATGTAACGTAGAACGACAATACGGAATTTATTACACAGTTGAAAGGAACACGTAAACGCGGTCGTCACATATACCTGGAGTGACAGACGTTTATTACATGGTTCCCTCAGGGACCCACATCAGTGGGTACGGGGACTGGCACCCCCGAGGTACCCGAGCTAGCCAGTGCCTGGGGGTATAGCTGGACCACCCTACCTCCGGGGGCTGTAAATACGGAGGTCTGGTCCTCCAGGTTGGGGGTTGGGCGTGGGGCTGGCAACCCCACCCTGTAAAAAGCAACTTGTTACGAATTAGATGAACTTCCGGATGAACTCATTCACGGGCAATTGGCAAACAGATTGTCTGTGAATGAGGAAGAATGGAAGAAGCTTTTGAAGTAGGCCAGGGTCCACACAGGGCTGTAGAGCCAATGATGATGATGTTGATGATGTTTGTTACCTGGTAGTGACTTTCGGGTACAAGGCATGTCAAATCTGGAACAGCAGTTAAGAAATATGACTACTGATTTTGCATGGAATATGCTCTGTGTCGAAAATACGGATTGTAGAAACTCAAGTGCTTATTTATTAAACACTGACAATGAAGTCAAATAATATCTTGCCGGAGTATTTCTGAGACATTTATTGAGAAGGATATTATCTTTATCAACCGAAATTTATGATAGTTTTTTCAGGCTAAACCGAGGTAGTGAATTGATACTTTTCTATCTTAAAGTTCCTTAAATAATATCTGAATTTGACATAAAATAATTCATGAAAGAGGTCTCCATCAAAAAATACCCACATTATTTCTTTCGGAATTGAAATAATTTCGCTCGATTTCGATTCCATTCATTTACAGTGCTTTTATTTCCGTTACGTAAGTGTACGTAAATCATTATTGCTCTGAGACTGTGTTCGTTCTCGGCGCCACCTAACTTGTAACTCGCTAACTGCATTACGCGTCACGACGACACGGAGTCACAACGTGCACTGTGCGTCGTGCAGCATCGTGGTGTTGTATCTTGATTACAGAAACAGCCGATCTCCTTGTGATTGTTACCGCGACGCTCGTAACAGTTTATTGTCTTCTTGTGCTAATATTGCGACACACAACAGTGATGCATTGTTTACTCTCGAAGAAATTTGACGTATTGTGTCCACAACCAATCTGGTTGTTAGTCACAGTGTTTTAGTAGCTTATGTCGTTTGTTGTCTATATCCAAACATGGCTATTAAGTAAATATGACTTATGTTAAGACATTTTGTTGCAATTAGACAATGTGACATCTCATCTTCAGTGTTAAAACACGACGTAGAATGTTACTTTGGGCGGGAGAAACATGTAACGTGTTGTCCTTTGCACTGGAAAATGGAATCGTTAGTTGCCTTGGTGTCTTCCTTTCCTTATTTTCCTTAGTTATCCCAAATCGTGACGTCATGTCTTCAGCATGAAAGCCTCGTAAAAACAAATCTGATCTTTTGAATGATTTGTTTCCTACCGAAAAAAATACGTGTTGTCAGCCTTACTTACTGAATTATGGTAATGGTAATAATCATTCTTCATTGTCGGAAAAAATTAAAGTCAGTAAAATAATGTACTGTTACAATCCCTCAAAAGTTTGAAGAGTGTGATGTGTTGTCTTCGTCATGGAAACATAAAATTGTTGTACTGTTGTCGTAAACATGTTTCTTCAATATTGTTTTATTATCATGTTACCGAAATACAATCTACTTCAGGTTACTGGAACAGTTCATCAATTTTCTTACACCATTTATCAATTTATGAATAATTTTTGTTACCCGAGTCTTGTTTGTTGTTAATTACTTGAAATTTCAAATCGTTAATTTGTGCTTTGGACTTCGTTGATTCTGGGACGTCATCTTGACTTTCTCACCACGTACACTGGTCGTTCGTCTAAGTTAAATTGTGACTTTGCATTTGGTTGTGTGCCGGTATGTCTGATGCATTATTCCTTGACACTGTTTCATGTTTCATCATGCTTGCCTAATACTGTAACCTGTTTCCCGACATATTTTTCGTCTGCCATGTTGTTTCCTTTATACTACCTAATCGTTTTGGTTACCAGGATGTTTTTATTGTCAAGGTTTTGTTTCTAATCTCGGTAGCTACTCGAAGCCCAGCTTTGTCCACCACAGTTTACTTTGGCGGATGTGTGTGTACTGGCTTAATAAATCGAAGGGACCAGTTTATTGTAACGTTATGGTAACTGGATTACAAGCAATCATATGTTGCGTTTCCTTAGTGACTAAGTCTCTGGAAGTTTTCGAAATGTTTTACTAATGTGCGTGTGGTTGAACTGACGAGATGTAATTTGAAGTGTTAAGTGCGGAATATGCATATAATCCCGCCGTTACGCTGCGGTTGTGATAATTTCAGTTAACATGTTAACGGTCCGTTTGGAGATAATTGTCGTCAGCAGAATGGATAACGACCATCATGAACAACAACAGCCACATCATGCAGCGGCAAGGTGATGACAGTCACGTGACCTCGGGTCGAAGTATCGAACCGGGGCACTGACAATGCTTTATTAATGCCTCTCGTGCAAGAAACGCCTGTTCGGAAAAATAGAATGATATGATGTCATAGTGTCAGAATAATGACTCTGTACATTTGAGAAACTTGTCTTATCCAACGGAGCGTTTCAGTTTTGCTAAATGATTTATGGATCATCCGTAGACTATATTATTTAACGAAGCCCCCTTCGTTTTGTTGTAACCTGCCCTGAAGTGGAAGAAGGTTGAACCCCGTTACATTATCTCTGCAGCGTACAGGATCTAAATTTAACCCTAGAAGTGTGGATCTGCACGCAAGGGAGAGAGTTGTGGTAGCAGCAAAGGGTTGGAGGTCTAACGCGTGATTAGGCAGAGTGCAAAGGGTATTTCCCTCACCAGTAACCGTGTTATTAGCTGTGCCACTGAGCGTCTCATTTCGATAAAGGGGGTGGAAACCAGGTCGCCGTTCTGTGTTCTGTACAAACCTTTCCCGGTTGGGAGAGACAAGTCCCACAGCACCACAAACCTCAGTTTGAATTCTTCTTTTGTTTACCATAACAACAAATGTTTTGTCGCCGCCATATTACTGATTTTCCTCGCACAAATATCAGTGTAAATTTTGTAGTCTTATTAAGATATAATCGCTGGAAGTAAGTTCAAACGATGTGTCTAGTAATGCATGTATTATTCATATGCCCTGCATTCATCTATACGTAGTGTAAGATGTAAATTTACAGAAGATGGTGGCATATAAAAGATATATGTATATATAAACACACACGCCTCTCTTGATTTCCAATAGAGATGAAACATATATGACAAGTTCAAGGGCTGACAATATTGATATTATTGTTAATATTTAATATTCAGTGCTGTTTAAGCCTGCATTGCCTTGATTCATACATTAGTTTTTATTGTAAATTTTTAAATATCCGGCAGATAGAAAAATATAACTGGGTCTAACTATTTTCATAGAACTGAATCCTTCTTGAGAAGCTAGTGGTTGATAATCTAGTTTAGAAATTCCCT